ATTCATTTTGAAAGTGAACTTTTTTTTAACATAATAGTCATGAGAAACTCTATTTTAATTCCTGGATGATATTAAGGAGTTTGATTTCTGAGATAGTCAAGTCAGCTAATTAATGGTTATTATTGTTGTTTCAGTATTTTTGGGAAGAAAGTGACTTTCTTTCGAATTTCTAATGAAATTGAATATAAATGTTATTACAGGGCAGGGGATTTTTGGTTACCAGTAGGAGGGGTAAAGAAGGAAGATATGGAAATAGCACCAGTGATCACAATTGTACTAGTTGGATTATGTGCTTCTGGAAAAAGTTCACTTGTTAATTACATGTATAGTGTTCTTGGTAGATCTGGTCTCATCCCTTTTGCTCAAACATCAAGTATGTATACTCATTATTCTCTTCTCTATTGGGTTTACGTGAATTCAATAACTTTTGGTTAAGTTTGAAATAGATATTAGAGAGGGGAAAAAAGATTACAAATACTCCTGAACTATTCAAAATTGGTCAAATTTACCCCACGTTTTGTTTTTGGCTCAAAAATATCCTTCGTTTTAATGGTTGTTCCGAAACAAGGGAAAACGAACCTATTTTGCCTATTTCGAATAGTTTAGGGGTAACTAAATTAACACTTTAGGTTTATTGGCATTAATTCAGATTGGTTGGGTAGGTGGGGGGGTGGGGGTTACCACATTTAAACACAAGTGTGAAGATGGTCCATTAATTTGCTGTCAAGGAGGGTAGAGGTGTTGGCTAATTTAATAAATGTATACATCATTTGGTTGTGTTGTGAAAAATTTATGAACTTCACCACTAGATCAACTTGCTTTGGAGGGCCCACTGAGTAATGTCTCGAGTTTGAGTCCTGAAAATTAAATGAAAGGAACTCGTGTATTGAACGTTTCTTTCTTTAAGTTTATTAGGCTCTATGATGCACGAATTCGTATTACTTAATCGAGCTAAGTGAGTTTTAGATACCAAATGATTTCAGGCTCAATAGTCTCAATTATCATGTTAGCTAAACTCATATGTATGTGTGTTACAAAAAAATATAAAACAAGATTGATGTATGATAATGTAGTGGTGGTATTCTTTTATATGCCGACTTAAAATTCTAAATTTGTCTCTGATTATCGACCCTTTGACACTTTGTTGAATCTTGTTATATAGGTGGGAATTCACACTATACAACCATGTTTTTGGAAGAACACAATGTGTTGAGATCAATGAGAAGTGGATTTTGTGTGTATGATACAAGGGGATTAGATACTAATGATATGATTGAGGGATTAGATGAAGTTTCTACATGGATGACACGTGGCGTTCAACATAATCAACCTTGTTTTCGACATGATGATTATAATAATAATAATAAGATTACAAATAAAAGGTACACTAAGAGGAATGTTGATTGTGCAATAATTGTGGCTGATTTATCAGAGATTAACACAGCTTTTATCTCTGGAGATTTGAAGGATGTAGTGGCCTTGAAGAGCCTTTTCAATAATTCTTCTATAAGGAAATCAAGTAAGTTTGTTTTTCAAACTTTGGTCGTACTTTTCAAAAATGTTGTCGGATGCATGTTGAATTAGATAGAGGTGTGCGACAACAATCTTTGAACCGTTCGAGCAACATAGCCTAAAAACATTGCCGGAGTTGCAAAAACTCTGCCTAAAACCTATGTTGTTCGAATTCTTCAAATATGTTGTTGAGTGTGTGCCGAATTCTTCAAATGGTGTTTACACACTAATTAGTGAAAGATTCTTGTATAGGACAGCTAGGAATCGCAACGATAAAATATTATGTTTCAGAATTGTTTACAGAATAAACAAATGTATGTCTACACATGTAGTGTGTACACATGTGTGCCTTGTTGGTTGAATCTGAATCTGCTCTATAGTTATTTATAACCTATTGTTTTTGTTGTTTTCCAATTAGATGAGAATCCATTGCTAATATTGACACACGGTGACACGATTAGCGCGGAGGAGAGGATCAATAGCCGGCTGAAAATATGTGAATTTCTAGGTATACCGGAGACAACAGGGGTCTATGATGTAGCGTGTTTGACTGAACAGGGAATATTACCAGAAGAATCAGATCCAATAACAGCATTTGCCCTAACTGAAGCTGTGTATAGATCACTAATGCAATCTGATAGAAATCATCAGCCAAAGAAGAAATTGAAGGATTGGATTGTTCTATTTTTGACATGGATCTTGTGTTGCATTGGTGCCTTCTTTGCAATTCTTGCAAATTTCTTCTCAAAATGTAGTCAACCTCACAACAAAAGACATAAGTATTAGAAGTATATTGCACGGTAAGTCTGCGTACAGTAGACCTTTTGTGGTTCGACAACCCTTTTCTGGACCCCGCACATAGCAGGAGCTTAGTGCAATGAACTGTCTTTTCACTCTCTATTTAGGTTCATGAGTGTCAGAGTTACATGTATCGAAAGGAGTTCAATTGAATCTCCTTTGTTGTTATGTTGTGTGTGCAATAGGGTCTGTTTGAAATTGTTTTAGGTTGCATGTTCAAATTTCATATGTGGCATTTTTGCATTTTTTTAATTTCGACCCGTAGAATTTCTGGCTCCGTCACTTGATTAAATTTGTTTGAGGGGATCTCCCCTTTTTTTTTGTTGTAATTTTTTGGGGCTTGTTGATATGTTGTATTTAGGTGTGTTGGTTGAATTAAATTTAATATCTAGCTAACAAAAAGTTGTGATAAGGTTTCTATGAATGGTTTTGAGTAGCTCAACGTGGTAGGGTTTTTGTGTTATTATTATTATTATTATTATAATATATAGTGCTAAATTGTTTATTTTACTTGTAGGATTTGTGTGCAATATTTTATCATAACAAGTTGTAGAAATGTGAGAATTTTCCATTTTTGTTTCTTTTGGTATTCCACATTGTTTACTATATTAAAAATAGATGTTTATTTTTATTTGTTCAATTTAGAAAATCAATAGATATTTTATTATTTTATCTTCATTATTAAATATTATTCATTTTCCAACATTTAAATGACTTAATGATTAGGAGTGATATAGTAAAATTATCATTTTATTTATTACTTCTTATCAGATGTGTCGAATCAAACATAGACGAAAGGAGTATGATAAAATACATGGAGGAATCAGCCACACTAATTACTCCTTAGCACTAATTGGCTACTTTCCGTCCTTTAAAAAAATAGAAATATATCGACTATCATATAGTTTTCAAAGTCATTGTCGTGCAATTATGATTTTCACAAGTTCCATTACAATTTTTTGAGTTTTACGTGTGAAATTTAGAACTTTACGAAAATAGCTTTAATTTTAATAACTTGGATTTTAAACTCGCTATTTGTAAATTTTATCCATGTTAAGGTGTGTAGATTTCAATTTGTAGAATGGTTAGCTCAACAACGTGGTACGCTACGAATCAAAATAGATTTTAGGATTTTTCCTAAGGCAAATACTTTTATGCATATTTCTTCTGGTTGATTCATATTGTCCTTTAAAAATGATGACTTTTATTTAACAATGTGTCCGTAAAACGCCACATCATACACACATTGAGAGAGGCCTTTTTGTGTTTAATGAGTATACTTTCAACATCAAGAAACATGTACTAGAGTATTGTATATATGACTATTTTAGATCATAAGGCGATATAAAAAAAATGAAAAAATGACTTTTTTACGATATCAATGATGAGTATCGATGATTGCAGCTAGGGACTTGACATTTGAATGTGAAATGCATTGTAAATCACTCCTTAATTTCTATCTAATAATAGATATCTGCTTCGGGTTCTATTAATTTATAATTCACATAAGAACATTTTTAACGAGATTCTTTCTCTACCTACAACCTTTTTTTACAAGGAAATTCACATTTGCTATCATTTGGATGTGCCCCGCTCCAGTGTAATAACAGTAAATCACACAGAAAAAGTAAATTGTACTAAATAAACTTCGTACAATAAACTCGATTGAATAATTATCTGATCAATCATCTCTACGAGTGTACCCACAACCTTTGATGGTGTAAATTACTTAGGATATGTGTATAGTATTATTATTATTTTCGTCCTTAAAGGTTGGTAACAAATTGAATTGTTAAGTGATTTCCTATTTTTGTTTCTTTTGATATCATCACATGAAGAAAAAGACGCATATAATTATGCATATTTTATGACATTTGATCCAATTTTACCAACAAGTTGATTTTATAGATTCTCAAATAACGATATCATAAATGTTATTATATCGATTACGAAAAAAACTATAAGAATAAGAGGTATTATAGTTTGGTTTTAAGTTCCAATCATACACTTCTTGACACATCATTGATAAGGGAACACAAAATTGTTTGACGTTATATACTAAATACAATAAATCCAATACACATTATTATATTCAATAAAAAAGAATAAAGAAAGCTAAAATATCCAAATTATTTTTTAAAAAGGAAAAATTGGAAGAACAATATTCATTTGTTTTAATTTCCACGATTATATTTTAGAGTCAAATGAATATACATAACAATAATTGATTTTAGAGTTAATTTTTTTGTAAATATTTTGTGAATTTCTTAATATATATCATGATTTAAACAAAAATTACTGAGTCACATAGAGACAGATCTAGAATTTAAACTCTATTAAACTTTTTAAGATTTTTATCAATGTAATCTCATATATAAGATCTAAATAACATGGTGTCAACATAGCCTTATTCCTATCTCACGATGATAATTTCAATATACCCTCGATTTGAACACAACACATACGAAAAACCAAATATATATATATACATAAAAATTAAAGTGGCAAAAATGAAATTGTCTCAAAAATACAAAAACCAAATTTTAATGGCGGCATTTTCAGTTATAATCTCATATTTTTTGGCGGGTAAAAAAAGCTGTCAAAGAAGGACATTTTCGTCTTTTCACACTCCCGCGCACCTAGGGTTTTTTTCGTATACAACTCCCTTATAAACCACAGATTCCTTTTTTTTTTCCGCCACTTTCACTCTTCTTCTCTTATCTATACACTAAGCTCAAATTTCTTCTTCGTTTTTGAGTTGTGGGGTTTTAATTGTTGTTCTCTCTACTTGATAGAGCTCAAAAATCCAGTGTGATTGAGCTTTTTTTGGGTATTTTTGGTGGTTTATTGAGTAATTGCTGGTGGAGTTTACATTCAGTTAAGATTCTTCTGAAAAGGTGATCGAAAATGGTGGATCTAAGTGATAAAGTAAGTGATCGTTAGTTACCCTTTTCTTATTAGGTCTAAATCAAGTTTGATTTGGGTCATTTTAGCCGATTCGTTAAATGGGTGTTTGCGTAATTGTTGGTTGAGTTTACTCAGTGTGATCATTCAGTCGAGGTCGAAAATGAAGAGTTATTCAGCTTGTTTTTGTGTCTTTTTAGTGGTTTTCTGTTGTGTGATTGCTGCTGGTGTGATCATTTAGATGAGATTGTTCTGAAAAGACGATAAAAATGGTGGATCTAAGTGATAAAGCAAGTGATCACTGGTTGCCCTTTTCTTATTAGGTTTAAATCATGTGTCATTCTGCTTGGTTTGAGTCGTCGTTTATTTTAGTTAAAAATCAAGTGTGATTGAGCTTGTTTTGGGTCATTTTAGCTTTTCCATTTAGTGGGTCTTGTGAAGTTTGCTCATTATAATCATTCAGTTGAGATTCTTCTGATTAGGTGATTGATCCAAAGTGGTGGATCTTAGTGATAAATCACTAGCTTAACCTCTTCTTATTAGGTCTAAATCAAGTGTGATTGAGCTTGATTTGGGTCTTTTTAGCTTGTTTTCTGTAATGGGTCTTGTGTAACCGGTGGGAAAATTCTCAATTGTAATCGTTCAGTTGGGAATCTTCTGATTAGCTACATTGTTCTTGTTGCTTAGTTTACAGTTTCTTTTAGTAGGGGAGTTTCTGTGAAGTTTATTAGTGTTTGATTTGAATTGTTTCTTGTGTTGCAGCAGGGTTTAGGATCTGAAGAAATGAGTAGTGGAGTTACTTCACCGGAAACTAGCCAAAGTAATGTTAAGACTTGTGCTGATTGTGGTACCACAAAAACACCTCTTTGGAGAGGTGGACCTGCTGGTCCCAAGGTTAGTACTACCGTCTTATTTACGACTTCAAGTTGAACATTGATCTATTTTTTTGATAAAAGAAGAATAAATCATGTTATAGAATTACAAGTTTGTATAAGTTATACAATATCTGGGAGATAGTGGAATAGTATATGTTGGTTCAAATTGGATTGAACACCATAGAATAACAACATACTCGGTGTAGTCGCACAAAATATATGAAAGAATTGCATGATAATATAGTCAAAAGTACATTGTTTATTTTACACATGGTTTAAGAAAGAAAGATTGTTGTGTTGTATGATTATGAGTTGTTTATATCTATTATTTGTTGCAATTTGGGTGTAATTTTACTCAAATTCATGCTTCATATCTAAAGTATTGGGTTTAGATGATCATGAAATCGGTGCTGCAATGTTGCATATGCCTCTTTAAACATGTCATGATGTTTCTTGGTTGTAATAACACACCATTAGAAGTTAAATATGAACACCATCTCATTTTAGTTTTCGATTTCTTGATGCTCAAATCTGATGAGTATGATCATTGTGAATGCAGTCACTATGCAATGCTTGTGGGATCAAAAGTAGGAAAAAGAGAAGAGCCTTTCTGGGGTTGAACAACGAAGAGAAGAAATCAAAGAAATCAGTGGCACTTGGACATAAAAACCATGAAGCACAGCACCATTTGAACCAAAGTTGTAGCAGCAGCAGCAACAGTGAAGATAGTAAAAGCAGTAACTTTGTGAAGAACATTGTTTCTTCTTCGTTGAAAAAGAAATTACTTCCTTTTGGTAAAGAAGAAGTCATTATGCAGAGACCAAGATCAAGATCTACTCAGAAGAGAAAGCTTGGAGAAGTAGAACAAGCAGCATTCTTGTTGATGGCTCTTTCTTGTGGCTCTTTTTACACTCAAGGAAGGATGAAAATGGACAAGGAAAGAAAGAATGAGAAATGTTGTACTCTTGGCAGTAAAAGTAGTACTTTGTGGGTTGGTTGAATGTTTCAGCTCGGAGAAGTCTAGCTTGATTTGAGAAGTGCTAATTCGATTTGGAAGACTATGAGTAGATAGAAGTTGAGAGTTCTATGTTTTCATTTCATTAATTTTATACTACTATTTTAGTTCATTGATGAAATTATTTTCTCATCTTTTGATAATGAGTTGATTGATGAAGTTATTTCTTAATGTTCATTGCATGACAACAGCTTTTATATGTTTTAATCAAAACAAAAAGTACAATAAATAGTTTTCCAAAGTATTGCCTATACGTATATTACCCCTGCCTAAACGTCATTTTTATTCTCAATTCTCAAAATTGGGATATTTAAAAAATTGCATTTTTATCCCTTTCGTTTTGTAGTTAGGACATTGTCTTTTATGCTTTTGATTCTCGTAAGGAATTAGTAATCATTCTTAATTGCTTTCAATTAGTGTTATATTTTTATGTATATATAGTAGAATTTGTAGTATTTGAGCTAAGAATCTTTTGGAAACTATCCCCTTCACGAGTGATTGGTAAGATTTGTGCATATTCTACCTTTTCCCAACCCCACTTGTAAAATTTCAACCTCTTCAGCTAGTTTGTGTGTTTACTTCTTCATATTTTGGCTATCTTAATGAAGAACATGGATCGGCCACTAGTTTGTGCTGCAATGTTGATGGCATATCCTTATGCAAGCACTAGTGACTTCTTACACAGCTCATACGCGTGACTTATAGGTCATAGAAAGACAACTTTAGGCACCTCTTCACATATGGATAAAAACCCAGCAACAACACATAAAAGAGTAGTGAATAGATCAAAACATATTTTTAGTTTTATTAGCTGAATAAGGTTGAAAGCCAAGCTTTAGAAAGAAAATATACCTTTCAAATCAACAACTCGTATAAAAGAAGAAGGTAAGCAAAAAAAAAAAAAAAGGATCAGCTAAATGAGCAACTAAAAGAATCTCAGAGACTTGCAGTTTATGGCAATCCAAATTTAGTCTGTACATCAAGATCAACTCCAGAAAGTGAAATAGAAGAAATAAAACTGGGTTATTGCAGTTAGTAAATAACTCGAACGTTTTAAGAGAATCCTTACGCCAAACGCGTAGCATCCCACAAACAGAACATCTCCACAAAATAACTTCTAGGATGTGCAAATTGTCCTAAATTTCAACTAGCTATATAGAAGTCAAAACTTTGCATGTACGCCTTTGCGATACCATGCAGAAGTATCATACACAAATTACCCTTTTTTCTTCATGAATGCTGTCTAATTCCACAATAATCAAGAATCAGACCGGAAGATGCAGCCAGACGAGAATCCAACATCAAGAATTGAATGACGAGCTGAAACTCCACCGTTTTTGTTCACAGAAGTCAATGATCAGCTGTAAAGACAACTATGTACACTAGTGACTCAGAATTATATGTTACAAAGCGAAAGCTTACAGCAACTACGCTCTTTTCGCGTCTTACACAGGAAGATTGTCCAATGGTGAATATCCATCAAAGCCAAATTCAGTTTCAACTTGTCCGACACTTTCTTGCTGTTGGAAATTCATAAAATGCAAATTAGCAAATAAATAGAATGCCATCTGTAGAATTAAGATTCTGAAGCAAGAAACACGGACTAACCTGCTTCAGAAGGGCACTCATGAGATCATCCTGTCCAAATTGCTCCGGAAAAAATGTATTTTGATAGCTCGTATCAGGAAGTTGTTCAGCTTTAACAGGAAGCAAATTTCCGCCAGAAAATAGGTTAAGTTGCGGTCCACCCATAGGATAATTTCCATTTTGTCCATTCTTCTTCATTGAAGAAATACCTTGTTGAACTAACATGGACGGTGAGACATCTAGAGTTCCTGGTATACTTGAATGATCAGACGCACTGAAGTTTGATCCGATATTCGGTAAACCCCAATCCTGCGTTTTTTGCTGATGCAACTCTTCAAATATATCGTAACCAGGAGGGAATCCTCTAGATCCTTTAATATCAGAGTTAACTTCTTCCTGAAGCAATCTTTTAGATGTCAGAGTTGACATTCCTGAATTACTACTCACAAGAGGAAAACTGTTGTTTTGCAACTCTGTAGTTTGATTCAGCGAAAAATCTACCATTGAAGATGTTTGGGAGACTGGATTGTATATTGGCCCTCGTACGTTGTCAACAATGCTATTTCGTGATAAGACTGCAGCAGGTTGTGACATGGACAATGGCGGCCGTGAAACTTGACCATTATTGGTTTCATTTAGCATTTGAGCCCTAGATGATTGTTGTTGTTGTTGAGACATATGCATTAGTAGAGCGTTGTTTTGTTGCATTCTAGCATTCCCTTGCATATTCATAGCCACAAAGGACTGTGAGGACTGGTGCAAATCAGCCAGCTGCTTCGGTTCCATGGTTGTTGGGATCCCATGAAGCAAGTTAATTTGTTTATTGCTATTATTTAATTGTTGTTGTCCCTCGGAAAATCTCAACTTGGGATTTTCAAAGCTGAAAAGGTTTCTTTGATCTACTAGAGGCATAGATATTGCAGATTTTGTCGCAGACCTACCTAGTGCAGCCGCCTGGAGGGTAGCAAGACTTTGTGCGGGTAGTTGACCGGTGGCAGCTAAAGCTTGAAGCTCTAGCCCATTGAAAGAAGTCATCGTCCCATATGTTGCTTCCGGGTGTCCCATGAATGAGTTATTCAGTCCATTCTGATGCTGTGATACACCACTCAACCTCCTTAGGTACAGCCGATATTTCTGCAGTACATGATTACGACCAATAAGCACTTTACTAAGAAACTAAAGAAATATTATCAACTACATGTTGCAAAACAAACATGAAGTCTTCCACTAATCAACTAATTGTGCATGAAACCATATATTCTTGAAAACGGAAGAAGTAAAGTTGCTCAAGACCTGTAGGTGGCTAGCAACATTTTCTCTGGTTAGCCCAGGAACATTCATCAGCTCAAGAATTTTCTTGGGAACAGCCTCTGAAATCATAGCCAGAATTAGCAACGAAGAATATACAAGTAAGTATCTAGAATATAGGCAAACATTCTTTTCTTATTCAGCAGAACCCATTTCTAAGGTAATAGACACTTCAATACAGTTAGACTAAGCAATTTGGATGAAGAAAAGTTGTATATGTTGAACTAAACCTCACGCAAAAATTTAGAGAACTATCAAATATTAAGGACACCCGAGAGAAAGAGATGAACGTTATTCTTGTGATACCAACTACCGATATCACCAAGTCAAACAGCCTCCAATCATATCCAGGAATTATAGAATCTGGAACATTTTATTTTATCACCGATGGTTGAGAGTAAAAAGAAACTGCAATAAAACTAGGGTTCAAATCCCAATAAAGACAAAAAAACCACTAGGTGAATCTTCCCATGTACCTAAACCTTGTTGAGCAGAGTAACACAGTAATTGTGCTAGTGGGAGGTAGCAGGTATGCAGTGGAATGGTCGAGGTGCGCACAAGTTGGCCCGGACACATTTTGGATAAAGAGCGGTCACAGATTTTGAACTAAACCACACACTAAGGACATTGGAGTGTGAAGTGAATGATATTATTGTAATACCCGCTACCAATGTCTTCATACACCACTTATAATTAAGTGGTTAACAAGAGTCAAGTACTCCTTCCCATTATGAAAGAGTGAGGACGGAGCATGGATGTCAAACATAAATTATGTCCCCTTTGATTAACACTAAATATGTGTACGCGATGACAATGTTAGGAACTTTTGACTAAGCAAAGGTAATTTGACTAGTTCATGTACCTCATGGTTTCCACTTTTCTCCCACAATCCCAATTTTGCCTGCCCAATGTTTTAATTGATCCTGTCCTTACAAAAAAGTTTTCAATCGTCAATCTAACTACTGGAAATAATAGTAATCCCTGTCCTTAAACATATGTGTGCTTTATTGTTATTATAAGTAATCTGTTCAAAGTGCCCCTTCTTTGTCTCTACAAGGGTTCAAGATGACCAACTAAAAGGCGTGAACAAAGATAGCATGTTAACAACGTAATGGTGTCAATTTAACCTCCACCCTTCTGGAGAGGGAGCGAAATGGACAAAGATTCATAAATTCATGGTAACATCCCAAGAAACATGGAAAAATCATGTAAATATGGTACAAGTCCCAGTATGAAGAATAAGGAAAAAATAACACATCTGTCAGGTCCCCTTGAAGCTAGGCAAACCCCAGGTTCAGCGTTTTACGTTGATTAGGGAGTGCATTAATGTAGACAACAAGGCATTAAGGCATATACTGTCTTTAAAAGGGCAGCACTAGACAATAAATATAGTTGATAAAGTGTTATTGACTGTTAAAAACAATAAATTTTTTTTTTTTGTTTTGGTAATTAGCAGTAGGGAATCACAAATTAGAATAAAACAACTGGTCTAAAAGCTAAACAACTTGAAACAAATTATAGATCTTATGAATAGACTTGAATGAAACCAGGAATTCAGTGATGGAGCTAGTTGCGTTGATGAGGAATCACATGAATGGAATGATGTCTCTGACTCAAAAACATCCTCTTCCCCTCCCAATGCCAAAAATCCAAAAAAGGAAAGAAAAGAAAAGAAGGAACTTTTTTTTTCTGAAATTGGTGATGTAAGAAAGGACGGAACATTAGCAAAATAGTACTCCGTCTGTTTCAATTTGTTTGTCTTACTTTCCTTTTAAAGTCCGTTTAAAAAAGAATGTCTCTTTCTTCTTTTGGCAACTATAGGATTTTGCCATGAGTTCTTCACCTCCCTTATTTCTTTGACATGCTTTTCCTTGAGCCGAGGGTCTAACGGAAATAACCTTTCTACCTTCCAAGGTAAGGGTAAGGTCTGCGTACACTCTACCCTTCCCAAACCCCACTTGTGGGATGACACTGGTATGTTGTTTAATTTCAACTTTCCACATGGCTTGTTTAAAACCACAAAATAAAAGGACATTTTGGTACACTAGTTTACGACCACAAGATTAAAAAATCTTCTTTTCTTTTTCAAATTACACATCAAGTCAAACCAAACAAACAAATTAAAATGGAGGGAGTATATCAAGTTTGGTTACACCACAAGGTTAGCTGAGCTGGGAAGAACTCCTTTTTCAGGTCTAAAGATCATAAATAGGCATATACTCCCCTGGACCTGAAATACCCCAAGTTCCGAGCAATATGGAACCACAGCTACATAGAAATATTAAGGTAAAGAAATAGCCAAGAGATGCATACTGTCAATTCCAAGTTGGTTGACA